TAAAGAAAATATTGAAAAATCTTTGGATGTGATCCTACCGATTATTAGGTCCTGAAACTATTTTTTTTATTGATTCTTAAAGTGAGAAAATAGAAAAATATCTTTATATTTAGGTTTTAAATCATTGATTACAAGTGTTTAAAAATGAATTCTAATATATTTTGCACGGAAAAAATATATTTTGAAAATCATGAATATGATAGTTTGTTGTTATTGTGAGAGAAATAAAAGAAACATTAACAAAATAAAAAAAAATAAAAAACTGAAAAAAAAAATTGAAAAGGAAGGGATCGGTACGAAGATAGCAACTTTTGTTAGAATAAGTCGCTATTATTTTAGCGATTTTATGCAAATAGAATCGCTAGAAAATTACCGATCGTATCTTTTTTTTTTTTTTTTTTTTTTTTTTTTCTTTTTCCATTGAATAGCTATAGTAGAATAAAATGATAATCACAATGCAAAGTATCAACCTAACAACAAAAAGTGCTGACACATGGAGTCCTATTCATGGACCTAAATAAAAGTTCAGACTGTAAAAGTACTTATATAATAGGTAGTTTAGATTATAAAAGATCAGTTGAAATCTAAGTTTATGCCGACTAATATTATAATATGATAGGTAGTTTAGCTTGTACAAGTACTTATATGACATGTAGTTTAGACTGTAAAAATACTTATATTATAGGTAGTTTAGATTGTAAAAGATCAGTTGGAATCTGGGTTTATGCCGACTAATAGGGTACCTGAGTTGAAAAAAAAAAAATAGAAAAATAATATAACTAATAGCGAGGCCCCCCCAAGAGATTTATAGGTGTTCGAAATTTTGGAAATGTCCTAAATTAATTTTAGGAAATATGTGGTGCGAATAAAATGACTCTAATTTTGGCTTATAGCACACAGTTTTTTGTGAAAAGAAAATTAAAATTTTTAGCTTTAAGAAATATTTTGCGCTGGAGTTAAAGAAAATATTGAAAAATCTTTGGATGTGATCCTACCGATTATTAGGTCCTGAAACTATTTTTTTTATTGATTCTTAAAGTGAGAAAATAGAAAAATATCTTTAAATTTAGGTTTTAAATCATTGATTACAAGTGTTTAAAAATGAATTCTAATATATTTTGCACGGAAAAAATATATTTTGAAAATCATGAATATGATAGTTTGTTGTTATTGTGAGAGAAATAAAAGAAACATTAACAAAATAAAAAAAAATAAAAAACTGAAAAAAAAAATTGAAAAGGAAGGGATCGGTACGAAGATAGCAACTTTTGTTAGAATAAGTCGCTATTATTTTAGCGATTTTATGCAAATAGAATCGCTAAAAAAGTACCGATCGTATCTTTTTTTTTTTTTTTTTTTTTTCTTTTTCCATTGAATAGCTATAGTAAAATAAAATAATAATCACAATACAAAGTATCAACCTAACAACAAAAAGTGTTGACACATGGAGTCCTATTCATGGACCTAAATAAAAATTGGACTAATCTAATTGTTAGGCCATAAAATTGGGAAAGGGATCCTTTCCGGATCTCTTCCACAAAATCCATCCAATCACCTAATTCGGACCCTTGAAATTTAGTCCAACGGCTAAAGTTATTATAACTTTTAAAGGGGTCTCCTGTTTGTAGCCGTTGTATCAAATTTCAAGGACCTAGATTGATTGATTGAGTGGATTTGGTGGAAGGGATCTGGAGATGATCTCTTTCCAATAAAATTGGACCTATTTCAAGTCAGTTTATTTACACATAACATATTTGTAAGGAAGAAGTTAATTTAAACCACATATTAATGAAACTCTTTTTGTCAACTATAAGACTCCAAAACAAAACAAAACTGTCGAACACTTTAATGCTTTAGCACATTCAATCACATATATTAAACATTAGCCTGTTCTATCAACTATATTTTTCTCTCAAGTGAGGCATATATATATATATATATATATATATATATATATATATATATATATTATATGGGCCTTTATAACCAAATATATCTTGGGATACTAAACCTAGTTAGAAACTAATTATATATATTTTTTAGTTTTACATATATTAAAATAAACGGTTAAATGGATACCCGTTTATAATCACGGGTAATACCCATAACCGTCCATTTAAATTTCATGGGTAAACGGTTATACCCATAACTGTTTATTTATCTAAACGGTTACCCATAACTGTAACCGTCAAATTTAAATGGGCGGATAACCGCGGTTACCCATAACCAATGAGTATTTGCCTATCCCTAAGAGCAGTTCCAGTGTTGGCTGGTGCTCGGGGGAAAGGCTGGTGAACAAGGCCGTAGAGCCCGAGTGAGAGAGTCCACTGTGTGGCAGCCCGAGGGACAGGCCCAACCCGAGGGAGGGGTCTGGCATGAGTTGCCAGCCTGAGAGCCCGAGGGCTTTATGACGCACGGCTGACGTCACCCAGACGTCAGCCACTTTTTTTTTTTTTTTTTTTGTCAGGCGCGTGGCCCTTAAGCGTGCGTATGGGCCGACAGGATTTCAGGAATTGGGGCCCGCAACCGTCTGATTTGCAACGGTAATAAAAATAAAAAAACCTTCTTTAATATCAACCGTTGGATCTGAGATCAACGGTTGATATTATTAGCCTTTATAAATATAAATAAAAAAACCAGTTTTAAAAATCATAAATGTTACCGTTGGAGTGTTGAAATTCAATTTTTTTTTTAAATCCAACGGCAAAAATTAATTAGTTGAATAATTTTTTTTTAAAAATTGTAAAAAATCCGGAAAAAAGATTGAAAAATTTAAAAAAAAAAATATTTTTACTTTTCTATAAATACCTTCTCTTTATTATTTACCTTACACATAAAAAAATTGAAATTTAAAAAAAAAAATCTTATCGGAAATCCATCACCAATAATTGTCTTTTTCGGGTTACGACACGTGGCGCAACGAGAACGATTAAAAATCTGTCGGTCCGAAATTACAAATAAAATTATTTCGTATTATTTTATAACTTTTCAGATAATGACACGTGGCGCAACGAGAACGATTAAAAATTCCAATATGAAATTACAAATAAAATTATTTTGTATTATTTTATAAATACAAAAAATACTAATATTTTATTGCCTATTGCCAGGGCTATTGAAGTGCAACGGTAGAGATACAAAAGGTAGTTACTATTCACTAGGTGGATAACATAGTGTATTACCTAGAAGGAGGGTTTCCACTCTTGAACTGCTCTAATCGTAGCATTGGATTAGGATACAACGCATGATAATGTACCTGTGTCATGCAAGTTCTTTTTCAGATATAAAGACCCACAGCCCTAACAGGCCCACAGCCACGCTAAACTTTCACCTAATTCTTTGCGTATAGGTGTACTTTAATCGATGAGAAAAATCTTCTAGTCTTGCACTCAAACCTTTCTCACGTGAAAGCGGGCCCCCACCCTCTTTAAGTAGTGTGAGTGATCCCCATTCCTCAACCGTCCGATCTCCGATGATCGATTTTTAATGACATCATTGGCAGTCGTCGGCGACTGAGTATATCCCACGTGTCCGTTTTCTGCAAAAAATCATCTAGTTGGCATGATGATCGGCTGTGCGTTCACTTTCTCTTTTTGGTCGCGTTCTGCACACATGATTATCGTGGTCTACGGACCACCTGATCTCTTCTGCCACTTACTTTGTTCAAAAATCCTAAAATACATGGATGTATCGCGTACATTGCTGGTTTGGTGAATTGTCATCTAATCCAAATTGTGGGAATTTTAAGCATTAAATAGTTGTTTGGAAGTAATTTTCTTTTTATAAAAATCATGATATTGCCAACTTGAAAGGGGAAATACTTTTCTTATTGTAAAAACCGACTCATGTTTCCACTCAATTTTCATTATAAATATGTATTACGTTAGGATTCGTTGCTCAAATTGAATCACGCTAACGTTAAGAGAGTCATGAATCGAGTGAAATAAAGTTTTACGGGAAAACTTCATTCCATTCTCGATGCAAATGGAGTTTGCGAATTCTCCTTGGAATTGGAAACATTTTGGAAAGTGGATCCTAATCGAACAGAACAGAAAAAAAAAAAAGAAAAAAAAAGCACGAATTCGTATTCAAACATTTTTAATCATTAGATTGACGAGTTCACTTTTATTAGTAATAATGTATGATATCATTGATAATGCTATTCACACATCTATTTTACCTTCCACACATTCTTGTTAATTTTTTTTCATTGATCTTCTTCAATTTACTTGATCCGAGGGCTAAAAATTAAAAATAGTGTGTGAGTAATAAAAAAAGGATATGTAGATACTTATGGAACACAATCTCCACTCTATCAGAGGAAATTATGGATCTAAATCTCATAAACGACAACCGTTGTTGACTAGAATAGATCATCTTCAGATCTCTTTCACTAAGGTCACCGGATCAAGTGATTCGAGCATTTGAAATTTCATCTAATGGCCACCTGTTTTGACCCGTTGGATGAAATTTCAAAACAGGTGGACCGTTGGATAAAATTTCAAAGGTCAGATCACTTTATCCAGTGGCATTGATGGAAGAGATTCGGCTCGTTGTTGACTACTAGATTGAAAATAAAATTATTAAAAATAAAATCGCATTATTATATTTTTCAGTTAGGGGGTCATTTTAAAGTTATAATAATTATAACCGTTGAATTTTTATCCAACGCTCCACACTCTTTGATCATGAGGATCCTTATCCTTGATCAGGTGAGGATCCTGATCCCTCTTCTCCACTGTCTGTCAAAAACCAGCACGCTCCTGCCCGACAAAGTCAAACCCCCAAATCCAAAAATCCTCCATTTTCTTATCCCATTTGTCATTCTTCGACCTCACTCCCTTTTTCTGTCATATTTAGGCTGTAAGCCTTCCACGACGGTGGACCTAAATTATCCTTTTCTTTTTCAATTTATTTTCCAAATTCCACAAGCTTTCGTATTTATAGGTAGAGACAGAGAAAGCGGGACGGGGGTAGAGAGAGAGGGAGAGAGGAAGGAAATGGGCAATTCATTCGGTTGCTCCGCCTCCGGCGAACGGCTGGTTTCGGCGGCGAGAGACGGGGATGTAATCGAGGCCAAAATGCTCTTGGATTGCAATCCCTGCCTCTCCAAATACTCCACCTTCGGCGGCCTTAACTCCCCTCTCCATTTCGCCGCCGCTAAAGGCCACAACGAGGTGCTTTGTCCGTCCTCTCTTCCCCTTTTCTTTTCTGGGTTGGTTCTTGTTTTCAATTTTTTAGATTGGGATTGTTCTTTTTGATCGGATTTTCGATTTTTGTTGTGGGTTTTCTTTTCTGGGTTTGATTCAGATTGTTTCTTTGCTGCTGGAGAATGGAGCTGATGCCAATTCCAGGAATTACTGCGGGCAGGTACGAAAGTTGGTGCTTTTTCTCATCTAGATTATGATTGTTTGTCAGACAGTAATTTAATTTGTGTTTCAGAATCCCCATTAGAGTAAATTTTGGCATTTGGGTATTGATCTGGTTAGAAAGTTTAGTGATTTGTTTGCTTTGTCGCATAAATCGAACCCTCTTATCGAAAAAATTGAAGCTCACGAGGGGATTGAACTAATTTCATGCTTAAGGGCCATAGATTTCATTCTAGCGGATGTAGTTAGGGAAATGCAGCTGGTATATTTTCCTTTATGTTCAACGAAATTGTTGTTCTGTGTTTGATACGAATGTTGATTAAGTTATTTGATTTCTGTGTTTAACTTTAAAGACAGCATTGATGCAAGCATGCCGATATGGACATTGGGAAGTTGTACAGACCCTCTTGCTCTTCAGATCCAATGTAATTGATTGTCTCATTGTATTTTTATTGCTATTTAACTGGATTGTAATATTTGAGTAATGAATCTTTCATAGTGAAGCTAGATACATCAGTTATGCTTTGAAATACTGTAGTTTTTTTTTCCACTTAGAAAAAAATATTGATTCGAACACACAATATTTAATCATAGTATTTTTCTTTATACTAGGTCACAAGAGCAGACTATCTTACTGGTAGGACTGCTCTTCATTTTGCTGCTATAAATGGGCATGTAAGATGTATAAGACTTGTCGTGGCTGACTTTGTTCCAAGTGCTCCCTATGAATCTCTAACTGCTCAGACAGAGTGCGACAGAGGTGATAGTGCAAAGGTCGTGAACAAAAATGAGCAAAGGTATTTGGGTAGCTTCTGTTTTATTTGTCAAGGAGATTTTTATGAATGTAAATTCTCCCACGATTGGAGCAATAATGAAAAGAGTAGCGATGTGGGATTGCTTTCCATTTCTACAGATTCAAAGTGGCTAAGTCACTAAATTCATTTTCTGCATGAAGTTTTCCGTGCACTATGTAAATAGATGCAAACTCTGTTTAGCCCATTCAAATTTTTGCTGGTGTTATATCGCCAAGACATTTATATTTGTTTAGGTTTTGAACAAACCGTTATCGGATAGGTTATGCTTTTAGATTGTACAGAAGCATTTGATCTACACATATCTTTCTTGCTATTTATTCATTCTATTCCAGTGCAGTGCTCTATCCAAACTTGTAAATAAGGTAGCAGATTGTGGTATTACTGCTCTCCATATGGCTGCATTGAATGGATCTTTTGGTTGTGTACAACTCCTACTTGATCTTCAAGCAAATGTGTCTGCTGTGACGTTTCATTACGGGACTTCTATGGATTTGATAGGTTTGCTTTTTGTTTAGTAACTAGTATGTTAACCGAAGGAATGTTGCTTTCCCATCCTGCTTCAAACTGAAGTGGAAGTTTATTCTTTGTAGGTGCTGGAAGTTCTCCACTGCATTATGCTGCTTGTGGGGGTAACTTAAAGTGCTGTCAGGCAAGAACTTGTTAGTTTTGACAGCTTGTAAATTAGTTTCTCTCTCTCTCTTGGATTTAAACTGATGGTGTCCGTATTTTTTAGATCCTCCTTGCAAGAGGTGCCAGCAAGATGACTTTAAACTGCAATGGGTATGGGTCTTTTGGTTTTAACAATTAATGTTCTGTTACTATTAAATGATTAATGTGAAGTATATTTTTTCAGGTGGCTTCCAGTTGATGTTGCCCGAATGTGGGGGCGCGGCTGGCTTGAACCACTTCTAGCACCCAATTCTGACTCATCAATACCAGCGTTCCCCCTATCAAGTTACCTATCTTTGCCTCTCATGAGCATAATGAACATAGCAAGGTAACTCTTGAACCAAGTACATCTATGGATACTAACACTTACCAAGTTTCTGGATGTCCAGTGCTTGGTGTCGAGAGTTTCACGCAAAGGATGCCACATACTCATGGACACATTAAAATCCTTAGGAAAATTTTAATGAGTGTATCAGTGTCACCACATAGACTCAAGTTCCTTGGAATTTACTGCAGGGAATGTGGATTTAAGTCTGTGACAACATCAGCGGACGATGCAGATACTTGTGCTGTCTGTCTGGAAAGACCATGTTTGGTGGCGGCAGAAGGTTTGTCCCGCAGTGGTTATTTTTCATGTCTTATGCTTTCCTGATACTTTACAAACTACCTTTTCCCATAGTATAGCCGAATGCTAACATTGTTAGCTAGTCCTATAACTATTGTAGTTGCTTACTGATAATCCTTTCCCGAGGTCCTTAATAGTCTTGGGAGGACATTAGATTTGATTCATTTAACTGGAGTAAAAGCCTTCTGGTGTTACCACGATAATAATTCTGATTGCATGTTTAATTCATTGGTCCTATTTGTTTGTTTTAATATTGTCTTAGATGGGTGGGCAGGATTTTACCAAGTTACGAACCGGATAAGAGGCAAAATGGTTTCTTGGCCTCTCATGCTCCCAGTCTTAAATTCATAGAACCCAATATTTTCAACCAGTATGTGCATAAATACAAATGAGGCATTCCAGTAATATATTGAAAATAAGAAATGCCAACTCGGGATAAAGTCATGTATATATGCATTATGTAGTTTGTGGTGATACATTGCTTACTTAATGGGTGAGCTTGATATTTCATAAAAACCCTATGACTTTTTTTTTTTTTTTTTCTCTTTCTAATAGTGATATGCCATCCTTTAAAATATTGTATATCTCTTCGATTAACATTGAAATCTTATGAGTTATTCCATTATCGTGTTCAACCGCTGTTATGTTAAGTGTCTACATTATAGAAATTCAGTTATCTTATGTACAAGATTATACTCATCCTTCGTTTACTTGTACCTTCAGGCTGTAAGCATGAGCTTTGTGTAAGATGCGCACTATATCTTTGCTCAACAAGCAACATACCTTCGGAAACGGTGGGCCCACCTGGGTCCATTCCGTGCCCATTTTGTAGGCATGGAATCATCTCCTTTGCCAAATTGCCTGGCTCCCCGGCAAAGGAAAATAGACTACAGATGTCACTTGGCCTTTGTACCCCTTGTATGCTTCATCCTCGTGACCCAGAGCGTCTATCTCCAGCTTGTGCACCAGAGATCCGAAAGAACCGTGTGGCTTCAGTTTCTTCAGATATGCTCTGTGCAGTCACCTGCAGTCCGTTTCCTTCTGTCACCATTCCTTTGTGCACCTGCAATGATGGTCCATGCCCACCATTTGAATCCCGGGAGGTAGAAACCGAAGATGAATTGCCCAGACATCCCCAAGCAACACCAACAGACCAGGATAAGATGGAAGGGCCGAGACTTGGAAAAACATGTTCAAGCATGTTTTGGAGCAGAAGAAGCTGCACCAGGGAGCATCAGTGCAATGCTGAAATAAATGCTTAACGAGTTTGATGGCGATGGCGTGCCTTCTCATGTGTCCCAGTCAAAAAGGAATTTTTTATTTTACATCAGCGTTGTGGGGTGCTGTATGTTTGATCCCTTCTGGCCGTGGAGTGTATGAAATTAAGCAAACCCGCATTTGCCTCCTGTTTTTGTTCGGCTGGCTACATGGTGGATCTCGGTATTGGCATCACAGTGTAATGTTCTCTTATGGTATTTCCGGCGGCTGTAAAATTTGTATGTTTGGAATATACATTGATTGTAATTGAATGTGAACAAAGAAAAGAAAAGAAAAAATTCGTTTCACTACATTTCTTGAGAGATTGTGCACCAAACAACGACAGTGCAAGTGAAATTAGTGCACTCTTGCTCTTTCGCATTATAGCGATGTTCTAATATAACTAATCTAAATATTGCAATTTTTCTCTTTTCCTTCCCCAATCTTTCCTCCCTTTTCCTTACATTTTTATGGCCCTATAGCTCACGGATGCCATTGCTATGAGTTTTTTGTGTCTCAGTGTTATCTAAGGGTTGTCTCAGTTTGATCTAAGCTTGTCCGGATAAGGCCTTTATAACTTTTTCGTCTCTAAATATCGTTCCTCACCATAAATCCTCAACCATTTGTCCCTGCTTCTCAGCTCATCAGGTGTCTCCTCCAAGGACCTCTTCCGGTGACACTTTGGTGGTTTGTAGCTTTTAAAGAGCAATTCACACTATTTTGGTATGATGAGGGAGTGTTCGTAGCTCGGGTGGCTTGTCTACCCTCATTTTCTGTTTATTCATTTGATTCGTTGATCCTTATTCTAGGCAGTGATAGCTTTGTGACAACGGAGGTGACTGTTTTACTTTTTCAAATATAGGTTTCTTTTTTTACTTGTGTGTTGCTATATGCGTTTTTAATGTAATTTATCATGCAGAATTGAGGTTTTGCTTGGATGTTTTAGACACTCTCTTTGAGTTGTCCTTATTTTGTGTTTAAACAACTTGGTCATGTTCAAATCAGCATTCTCTTTCGCATGATGGGATGGTTTTAAGTAACGCTGGAAGAATTATATTCTCAGATACGAATGCCACGTTGCAATAGCACGGTGACACGTAACTTAGCCATGAGGCCTAGCTACATGAACCGCATCACCAAAACAACAATCAACAGAAAATAAAAGAAGCGACCGATGGGACCTACCACTGTCCCAAATACCTGGTACAACAAAATAAACGGTTGCCAACGTACGTACATAATAACAAACCCTAGTACGTACGATCATATGCATAGTTGCATAATCTCTCTCTCTCCACGCTTTAGGGAAGACCAGCACAGCAGGAGATACAAAACTTCAATCTTTTTATGATATTTTAAATTTTATTGATGTTAATCCAGTACCTATTTATCATCATCTTCTTCTAGCTGCAGTTGCCCGTTGCGCATTGAAGTAGACGGCAGCCACAGGCAGCCCGAGACCATTCTCCTGCGAGAATATCCTGGTATTGAAATTGTCTCTGGAAGCTGGAGCTCTCACTGTTTGTCTTCCTCTCTGCTTGAATAGCAGGAATACGTACCTGTGAATGCCTACGACCGGCCGTGGAATTTCATACTCGACAATCTCTTTTCCTGTTAATCATATAAAACCCAAAATCTCATATTTAGCTAAGAACAAATCTTCGTTTAGCCCTAATCTTTTGTGTGTGTGTGTGTGTGTATCACTGTATTGTCTGCAATGACTAGTTAATTACTTACCAAATGAGACATCAGTGGTGCCAGGAATGTCTGTGACCATCCTGAAATATATATATAGTTTAGTGAAAGTTAAATTATTGAAATGAATAATTAAGGTACAATCTCTAAAACTGTAGCATTTGAGTTTGTGTGACAAGTAAAATATATACAAACCAGTGGAGATGTTCTCTCAGGTATGGTTCGCTGGGGCTTGGAAAATCTGGGTCTGTCATTATCTTCATCAGCAGCAATCATCCGAAAACAAAAGTTGGTTATATAACAGTAGTACTATCAATGTATCATATTATCTTCATGTAGCAAATAAGTAATCACAAAGTATTGGTGAAATTAACTTACTAAGGTATAAGCAATCCTCATATCTTCACCTCCGATCTCGACGCGAGGTTTAGCAGCAATGACAGAAGGCATGAGCTCATGTCCATTAGCAACTTGTCTGTTTGGGTTGTAAACTACATTCAGGTTCACAGTTGGGGTGAAGATGTCCACAACCTCTCCTATCACTCTTCCAAGAGTTAATGGCTCCATCATCCTTGACATACAAAAGAAATGGAGTGAGAGAGTGTTGAAGAAATGTTATATATCTTTGTGCTTGAAAGTTGATTATGCAGTATACTGGAAGTGAGACTATGTTGGCTTTTATAGGCACAAAAAAGGCCCAGAAAGCATAAATTAATAATATTACTCAATTAATTACCATTCAGGGAATAAGAAGTTTGTAGATAAGTTGACTAAAAGCATTTACCCAATGTTCCAAGTTCAACTCTCCCCCTCCCATATCGTTGTATTAAAATTACTATTTGGGGAAAGGACATTTAAAGTAAGATTTCAAATTCGAGTTATCTTTTGGATGTGGTGAGAAGCCACTAAAAGAAGGATGAGTCCTTACTTTGCTGAGTTTGAGCAAAGAGATCCCTCTGAAAAGCATAAAGATATATTGGTATCTCTCTGTAGAATCTAATGTCATTGCCTTATTGGGTAAACGAGAATGAAGAATATAACTTTTTCTACTTATAAAAACAATATCTTGGGAAAATGGGAATTCATCTTTTAGAGGTGCTTAATAATTCTCCACGTGCACACAGGCTTTCTTTCCAACATTAGAAAGGAAATAATTCTCTTATCAGCAGGTCTGGAAAAAGTGTTATAATTTAGCTTGATGGAGAGCCACAATGCTATTTCCGAGACCACCATAATTATACTTATCATGCATATTTTTACTGTACTCAATCGTTTAAACAAACTCCAAGAGTTAATTAAAATAGCTTTATTTTAAGGAGTGATTTTCATACTCTTTCTCTTTTTACTTTATACACTCATTCTCTTAATTTTGTATGTTGATCGTATATTCATTTATTCAATTCAATAACTAAAAAAAATTTGCATGAAATGAATAAAAAAATGTTGAAATCACTTCCTTATTTGTAACAGTAACATGCAGCTGCAGATAGGAAAAAAATACTTCTCTACAAAACTTTGATTTATATACAAATTCAAAGTTTTAAGCAAGGAGATTAGATGAATTTTAATTTTAATTTTTAGAAGAAAATGATGGATTTTACCCTAGAAATTAAACATTTGACATCCACCAATTAGTCTCTTGAGATGTTGCGTCACGCATAGAGCTTCAAAGGTGGGAAGGTATCGATCTAGAGAAACACGATTGTCAAATTCCCACAATGCATGATATCAATTTCTTTAGTAAAAACCTATACAGAACATTGAACCCTAGAGTTTGACATGACATCACTTCCTGTTATTCATGTATTCCGGCTGTAAATGCTGGGAAATTATATCTTAATCGTGTTGATTTAGGAACAAGGTTGACTGGCATGGAAAATAATTGGCATATATATTCTCAGGATAAAAATGTGTATCTATAACTATTTATATATAAACTTGGAAGGCAAAAATGATGGATCATTCTCAATTCTAAAATATTCTTCTCTAATTAGGATTTTAAAATTGTTAGAACCTAATATTATACCATTGATCTCGTGCAATCGAGGCCATTGAATGAACAAAAATTCTAACTGTTGGATGGAAGAACTGTTAAGATTTTTTTTGTGTGTGTGGATATTATTATGATTACTCCGGAGGTTATCTTGAGCCAATGTCTAGATGGTGTTATCAACAAATGGGATGATAGCTTTATTCATGTGTTTATCCATGTGTGGTCTATTATTAGGGATGCAATTCCAACAAATTTCCATGTGGTCTTGGTAGCCAGCATGCAGTGTCATGGATTGTTAGGCTTCTCAAAGGATAATGATCACCACCAAAGAATGGTCAAGTTATCAACACCAAATCCATATCATTATTTGTGAGATAAATTCTTGATCTAAATAATCATTATATAAAGATGGGACGATGACTAGCATGTGTGGTGGTTTGGTAATGGTCGAGAAGTGATAATGATTAACACTTTGCACAAGCTTGAGCAGTGAAAGAGTTCTAATAGTATGATGGAATTCGAATTGGTACTGGAACTTTTCAAGCAAGGCATGAATATAAGTGGTTTTGCAACGTTGGGATGACCTTCAATTCAACGCATAAATAAACGCTTTATAGGAAACCTCCTTATGCTCTAGGAAAATACCCCTCTGTTAACAAACTCAACACATATGGAATCACTCATCATTGGAGCCGTGAAATCACTCGGTCTAGGAGTACCTTTAGTTTGGTTAAACTACACTACTTCCAGTTCGGTTGGTTATCTATTTCAAGTCTTAGCTGGTGAAGGGTCTTCGATTCGTTTGCCTAAAGAAGACACTTCCCCAGCAAAGTGAGGTGTTCTATGATGAGTTACTCATAGGTGCCCTTCACAGTTCGGCATTCAAATAGTCGAGCCACTTTCACTATAAGTACACTCATCTCTAGCCTCTTAATCAACAAGCCTGGAGAAGTGTTATATACACACATTACTTAAATATTACACGTCTGGTGTTTTTAGACGCAAATATGCTTGATTTTTTTTTTCCGTCAAAACGCAAATATACTTGATTAAGTTTAAATAATCTAATTTTTCAACCAATTCTTTTTCAATTGATAAAATAGCTAACCCATTCAATCTTTCTTGTGACATACTTGATCAAAGGTAAGATTTGTTCAACTTTAATTTTGAAAAACTTCTTTGCATAAGCACTTGTAAGTGGTAAGGTTAACAAAAGTCTCTAAGCAACCCATGCATTCGCACCACAACCATCCATTTGTCTCAAATAATTCAACACTTCCATTGAATGATTCATTTGTCTCAGATAGTTCAACACATCCCAATATGAAAGAGTACACAAAAAACTAAACTCAAATAAGCCAACAGTACTTCATTAGCATATATACCTTTATAGAGTTCTTGTTGATATATACATACCCCCAAATTTATAATGTTCCTTACATTAGCAAACAACAAATTGACAAAGAAACAAACTAAAACTCAAATTCCACCCATTTATAAACAAAGTAGAGGCAAACAATCAAGATAAAGAATCAAACAAACCTATTTTGTTGCAAGGATGGAAATTCTGAAACACTGAATTACCCAAGAAGAGCCCCAATATTTTTTTCCAGGAGAATTTATTCGGGTTGTCAGTTTTGTGAAGACGAATCGAAGAGCAGTAGTTTGTTTGTTCGTTTTTTTTTTGCGAAAATGAAGAGAGAAAGCGATTGGGCATATATCGAGAAACACCTAATTGTTATATGTTAATTCTTTTCAATCTATAACGTAGCTAATCCTTCGGGAAACACATAATTGTTATTGGATGTAGGAAAGACAAAAAAAAAAAAAAAAAACACGTTTCCTAAAGTATTTGGCCTTCCTAATTATATTTGGATATGCTGGTTTTGAGTTCAAGTTGGACCTTTTATTTTGTATGCATATAATTTGAAAAAGAAAAATCAAAGTAAAGCAACACCACCTAGTTTCAAACTGCAAACACACTCTATTTCAACCATGCCAACAACTCATTCGCTAAATTTGGCTTACTTATTAATTTATATTATATCCACAGAATATATAGAAAAACTACCCTAAGGGCCGGTCCTGTATGATGGAGAACCGGCATAACATTATCTTCTGGACACTTGAAGAAATAAACTATAATCACATTTACCATGCATATTCCTACTCTACTCGATCACTTAAACAAACTCCACGAGCTTGTTAAAATAGTGTTATTTTAAGAAGAGTGATTTCCACACTCTTGTTTTTACTTATGCACTCATCCTCTTAATTATGTCTCTTGATTTTAGTTTCATTTATTAAATCTAATGGTTTAAAAAATAAAAAAAGGTGCGTGAAATGAGAAGAAAAAAAATGTTGAAATCACTTTATTATTTGTAACAGCAACATACTGCAGATATAAAAAAAATAAAAAAATACTTCTCTACAAAACTTTAATTTCTAATCAAATTTAAAATATTAAGCAATGAGATTAACTTTAATTTTTAGAAGAAAACGGTGGGTTTTACCTAGAAATTAACATATGAGATCCACCAATTAATCTCTTGAGATGTTGCGTCACGCATAGAGCTTCAAAGGTGGAAGGGTATCGATCTCGAGAAACACGATTGTCAAACTCCAACAATGCATGGATTTTGACATGACATCACTTCCTATATCATTCATACATTCTGGCTGTAAATATTGGGAAATTTATCTTAATCGGATTGATTTAGGAATAAGGTGGTCTGGCATGGAAAATAATTGGTTTATATATTCTCAGGATAAAAATGTATATCTATATCTATATAAAGCCTGAAGGAAAAAATGATGAATCATTCTCAATTTTAAAAATATCTTTTTTTTAGTTAGGATTTTAAAATAAAACAACATAATTTGAAAAACAATCCAGACTAACAGAAAAAATTACCCACGCAAGTGGACAGTTTTTTTTTCTTTTAGTTCATTAATTTTTTAAATAAAAATATTTTAAACAAATATAAAAAGAATAAAAATTACAAGTAAAGAATAACATGTAAAAGAGTAACTTGTCACACATGTGTGGCAAGAAGTTAGTAATGTTATAAGCGGGAACAAGATTATTCTGCTCATTTTACTTTCATTTATTATGAATAAAATTGGGGGAGTAGGGACGGACGAAAGATTTCTAAGTGGAATGGTCTTTTACCCATTCGGGGGAAAGTAGGCACGCGACTATGACCAAATAGCTAATATTGTCTAATTTTTATTTCATTTGATTAAAAAGAAAGTTTTGCACCTGACAAAAAATGTTTATTCCACACATATAACACAAATTAAGATATTATACATTCATAATTCTACAGCACCATCTTTTTTTTTTTCGATAAACAATTTTCTTAATTTTAAACTAGTATTCGCATACACATTTTGTGTGTATGATCACATTTTTTTAGAAAATGTGAGAAAGAGAGAGAGAGAGAGAGAGAGAGAGAGAGAGAGAGAGAGAATGTGGGGGAGGGGAGTGGGAGGTTTTTGTATTTGGTTTTTTTTTTTTTAATATTAGAGGTATTTAACATCACCTATAAGTGAAGCTTCAATAAAAAACAGTAAAATTTGGACCTAAGAAATTACAATATTGTCCATCATTTTTTTTTTAGTGATAAAAAATTAATTTATCTTTTCATCATCTTTTGGTTGACAAAGAGAATTTCATTAATTAATAGAAATAACAAATGAAACCATTCAACCAAAAAAGTCTGAATGGAAGGGAACTAGAGAAGAGCCTATGAATTGAGAATCTCTGGCGACCAACGGTATGGCCCGCATGGGATGTTCAACAATGCAGCTGCTGTACTCTCATCTCTCGAATGCCTTCACTTTCGGTTGCGCATATGCTCA